AATAACAATGTGAAAAACTTGTCGCCGGAAATATGGGCGTGGTTGAAGGTGTGAATTCGTACTCTTTCTTTTTTGGCGAAAACAAACTGTCACTAAAAAAGGCATGCAACTTGACAAAAGATAAAATTCCTGCTACTTTCATGAGATAAGAAATTCTTGATTTAATTGCCAAAACGAATTAGCTTGCGAAGGACTTTGTAGCGCACATAGATTCATACATATTGTCACATGAAATGCAAAAGGCCGTAACTAGTCAGTGAAATGCAAAAATTTGTAATTAATTATTACCTTTTCTGTTTTTTGCATAAAACAATGAAATGATGAAATTCATCATAACTAATCAAAAATTGAATTTTGGATTTTTTGCCAGCTAAGGCCTTTTGCATCTCAGTGACGATGTTAGTTACGGCTTTTTTACATTTTAGGTACCGATATTTACATTTGTATGTATTGAATTGAATTTTGAAATCAGCCTAGTAGCAGCATTGTCAGTTGCTAACCGTATTTTCATATTGATTTGCATTATCTCTCGCTAAGATTACACTGCTATTTAGCAGGGACGGAAAATAATCATTATTTTTTAAATTTTAACCAAACACAGCAACATTTTGTTAGCGTCGTAAAAAAAGTTTAACTACTATACTTGTACTCATACATATATTTTTATTCCTACGTCGTCCCACTGTAATCTACAATGATTTTTATTTTTCAAAAAAAAAAAAATATATATATATAACTAGATCATATTCAGTTGGATTTTTACATTTTGTGGATAATCATTATTTTTAAGTGGAAAATAAAATTTAATAAAAATTATTATCTCTGGGCGAAACAAACAAAAATCATAAAGTATTAATTATTTGTTATCGAAAAAAAAAAATAAAAAAAAAATTACTTCGTTGGGCGAAAAAGTGAAAATCATAAAAGAATGATTAAATGCTGATTTAAATTATTTTACTTATAATGTTATTAAGAGAAGGTAGACATGGCCACAGTGGCGAAGTGAAACTTCATTCAATTGATTTCTAGTTCGTTACATACTGCNATTACCGCACCTGTTATTAAGAGAAGGTAGACATGGCCACAGTGGCGAAGTGAAACTTCATTCAATTGATTTCTAGTTCGTTACATACTGCAGAATGTAGTATATGGGGCGTTCCATACCAAAACGGACGGGGTTCACACGTCATGTGTTTGATTTGTTTAAAATTTTTGGGGGTGATGCATATACATCTATATACCAATTATATAAAGAGAAGTCCCTTTTTTTTGTAACAGGTAATCTCGCGAACGGCTGGTCCGATTTTCATGAAATTTTGTATACAAATAGCTTTCGGTAACCACCATGTTTTAGNTTCAATTGATTTCTAGTTCGTTACATACTGCAGAATGTAGTATATGGGGCGTTCCATACCAAAACGGACGGGGTTCACACGTCATGTGTTTGATTTGTTTAAAATTTTTGGGGGTGATGCATATACATCTATATACCAATTATATAAAGAGAAGTCCCTTTTTTT